AAACCTTTAAAAAATTTTGCGTTCTGCTGAGATTTTACCCTACTTCGGTTAAATTTTGCGCCTTCTCGTGTTCACCGGCTTAAATTTTTTTTCGTACAAACAAATTTTAGCACTAACACCTCCGCTTAAAATATGAGACTGCTATGGTATTCTTTCCAAACCGAAATTCATCATATTGGAGAATAATTAAAATGCTGAACACCATCCGGACTGTAACATCTGGAAATTTCCCTTGAGTTCCGTGACGCACATTTATCACCAAGATTGTCTAGGCCTTAAGTGTAAAGCCGCTACTGAAATGAAGTCATGTAGCGGGTTTTAATCGTAGTTGTTTCACCCTCTTATTTCTTCCCTCAGCCTATGCAGATCATTTCTTGAAGATCCATCAGTGCTGACAAAGCGTACAACAGCTCCGCAGGTCTTGTCTTCTTTATTAATTATAAAGCACCTACTACAGATCTTTCTGTTATCAGTACGGTCGCGAAAAGATACCGCAAGAATCTTTTCGTCAATCACTGGATCTGGACACTCATACTCTGTTAAGAGCACTTTTTATCCACTTTTGGTAAGGGTTATCAGTGCAGCTGGCTCAAATGAATGGCGCAAAGACAAGCACTTATAATAGTGAGTTGAAGATCGGTAACAAGTGAGGTAAATGGGAGACCATGTTTTTGGTCGAGTAGTTCGAGCTTCTCCATCACATCTTTCCGGAGCCTCATGAATTTCTGACGACTCTCTTGCCGACAGCGTAACATTAACCTTAAATCAAGATTCTCCAATCAAAGATGCATGGCTCAGTTCAGTAAAAGAAACATCTGTTAGTCCCGGGAATTGGTGGCTTGCAAGCCGTTCCCTCTTAAATCCTAGCAAAAAGGGAGCTTCTAATTTAGACTTTAGGGATCTTGGTTTGTGGAAATTTTGTGCTTTATAATAGAACGATTTCAAATCAAGCTAGATAATGAACTCAGAACATTTCTGAGTTATAATTTTTACAGCGAACTTTCACGAATTACAATTTTTATAGCTTTTTACAGGCCAAGACTTCCTGTGACGACCAATTGGTCAACCATAATTACTAGCAAAACAAAATGCATCCAATTTTAGAATGCAGGACGTCAATCTGTGCAATACTCTTTGTCCGAAATGATGCCGAATTTAATTTTTGCTTATATTTTGCGTACATCATCCCAGTTTTTTGCGTTGTAGCACATCCTTACTTATTCCTCTTTTCCAAGGAATTTTTTTCTCTCTCCCAATGAATCTTTTTGACTTTTCCCAACTGAAATCAAATTTCTTTTAAGCACAAACGAGGAAGCTCTCTCTATAAATTCGCTGTAGTTAACACACCTATGGGTCTACAAAAAACAAATAATGGAAGAGGTAAAATAAAAACAATCCTATCCAACATATGTACCACCGCCACCACATGCTCAGCATTACCTGTATTCGTAGTTTCCCGTCTCCACCCGATATAGCGACTCATCATAGCTGGCCACCTGTATCTCTTCATCGTCCATCTCTTTTAGCTTTAAACAGAATGACAAATATTCGAACTTAGAATCCAGATACTTTTTCACCGTCAACTTCGTATCCGGTATTGCCTTCCCGATGAATGTGTTTAAATCTCGCACAATAGGATGTAGACTTCTCACCAACCTAGAACTCTTTTTAATTCTATACATTATGCATTGTAAGCAACGAAGCGATCAAGGGTGGCTGGACACGTCTGTTTCTAGC